TCTTTGCCAAGTTGAATAATTGTTTTGTTCATCTTGTTTAATTTTTATTTATTGCTTTCTTTATTTATTGTTTTACTATTTATTTACTTAGATTATTAATAACTGTTTAGATCTAATTGGTTCCCTAGCTCCTCGTGAATTCGATCCCTAAGTACTACAACTGAACCTCTTATTTGAGAGAGTAATTCACTCTTTAGGGTAGTTTGAGTGATATCAATACGCATGTTCCAGCCTCGAATTCTCAAGTCAACGATCGAATTGGCTCGGATGAGAGACGATCAGCTGCAACGATCAAGAAAATTCGCTAACAATCCTCAACGCAATTTTAGGAACACAAACGCAAACGCAAATCCAACTCTATAGGAGGCTGGACCAGCAACACCAAAGAAGCTGAGTTGGGAGGAATTGAAACGAAAAAGAAGTCTTGGACTGTGTTTCAGTTGCGACGAACGATATACCCCAGGTCACAAGTGTCGTAAATCTCAACTTTTACTCATGGAAGGAGAGGATGCTGATGGGGAGGAGGTCACATCGCAAGAGGAAGAAGAGCCTGAGATAACACTCCAAGCACTCACCGGTTGGGACTCACCTCAGACCATGAGAACGCAAGTAGAGATCATTCACCGCCAGGCTGTGGCGCTGATCGACAGTGGTTCGACCCATAATTTCATCAGTGATAAGTTAGCCCATCGGTTAAACCTGAAAATTTCACCGACGAAGCCGTTTAAAGTTCGTGTTGCAGACGGTTATCCCCTCCGGTGTAACGGCGTGTATCGACAGATCCCGATCCTAGTCGACGGCGTCAATTTTGCTACCGACTTCTACATCCTTCCCCTCACTGGGCTGGATATTGTGTTAGGGATCCAATGGCTCATGTTATTGGGCCTGACCCTTTGTGATGGGAAAGCCCAAACATTGGAGTTCACATGGGCTGGCACACGGAGACAAATCCATGGGCTACAACGTGGGCATATCGTGCATGCCCATGCAGAAGAAATCACTAAAGACGCATAGATGGCCCAGGCCTGCTTCGCGGTCAGTGTTCAAGCAGAAACCAACGTTGTTTCAGCCATACCCAATGAGATGTAGCGACTACTAACACAATTCACCAGAATTTTTGAAACTCCGACACAACTACCTCCAGCAAGAGATATCGAGCACCTGATTCCGCTAAAGGAGGGCTCAAACTCGGTCAACGTCCGTCCCTATCGTTATGCACATTTTCAGAAGGAGGAGATTGAGAGACATGTCAACGAGATGATGCAGACATGAATTATCCGACCTAGCTCGAGCCCATTCTCATCACCGGTCCTCTTAGTCAAGAAGAAAGACGGATCGTGGAGGTTCTGTACGGATTATCGAGCCTTGAACAAAGCAACTATCAAAGATCGCTTTATGATACCTACAGTGGAAGATATGCTCGACGAACTACATGGAGAAATGATTTTTACCAAACTCGACCTTACAGCCGGCTACCATCAGGTTCGAGTTCACGATCAAGATATTCCAAAATGGCCTTCCATACCCACAATGATCATTATGAGTTTCTCGTGATGCCCTTCGGACTATGCAACGCTCCATCTACATTCCAGTCACGGATGAATTCTATTTTTCGAAGCCATTTACGCAAGTTCGTCCTCGTTTTCTTTGATGGCATTCTTGTGTATAGCCGCACATGGGAGGAACACTTGGAGCACGTTCATATTGTCTTTACACTCCTGCAACAACACCATCTCTTTGTCAAACACAAGAAGTGTGAGTTTGGTAAGGCGGAATTGGAGTACCTTTGGCACATTATCTCAGGAGCTGGTGTTAAGGTGGACCAATAAAAATTCCAAGCGATGCTTGACTGGCCCTCACCAACGACTATCATGGAGTTAAGAGGTTTTCTCAGTCTCACTAGTCATTATCAAAATTTGTGCAGGACTATGGTGTCATTGCAAGGCCTTTAACAAACCTACTAAAGAAAGGCAAGTTCGAGTGGATAGGAGATGCAGAAGCAAAATTCACAAAACTGTAGACCGCCATGACAACAACCCCGACACTGGCTCTACCAGACTTCTCAACACCATTCATCATTCAAACCGATGCTTCTGGTGAAGGCATTGGCGCTATTCTCTCTCAAAACGGGAAGCCAATTGCATTCATGAGTCGATCGTTGGGTGTTGCTAAACGGAACTGGTCCACTTACACAAGGGAAATGCTGGCCATAGTCATCGCGATTCGTACATGGAGACCTTACCTCATGGGTAGACGCTTCACCATTCAAACTGACCAGAGAAGTGTACGTTTTTTACTTGAACAGCGCATCCTCACACCTGAACAACAGAAATGGATGGGAAAGCTGGTTGGTTATGACTACGAGATTACTTACAAACCAGGCACATCAAATGCAGCTGCTGATGACCTCTCACGACGTCCAGACAGTCCTTGTCTCAATGCTATGTTCACGCAATACACAGACCTTGGGAATGACCTCCATTCAGAAGCCTCCACTGATCCCTTCCTACAAAACATTGGCAAACAAGCAGAGGCATCACCAGAAAAACCTTACCACCACCGTAATGGCTTCTTTGTTTCAAAAACAGGATCGTCATTCTCCCTGGCTCACCTTTCATCACCACCTTACTCCATGAGTTCCATAACACACCGATTGGCGGCCACTCTGGAGTTCTCCGTACCTTTGAATGCTTGTCTCAACAGTTTTACTGGCCGTCGATGCAAAATTCGGTCGAGGAGTATGGAGCGGCATGTGATATCTGTCAAAGGGCAAAGTATGAGAGTCTCTCACCAGCATGACTCCTCCAACCCCTGCTGATTCCCGATCAGGTATGGGCCGATGTCTCTATGGATTTTATTGACGGTCTTCCACGGTCTGATAACCACACCTCTATCATGGTCATCGTTGATCGTCTCTCCAAGTCATCCCATATGATTTCTCTCTCACATCCATATACAACAAAATCAGTCGCCTCACTATTCATCACCAATATCGTTAAGCTTCATGGAATCCCAAACTCAATTGTAAGTGACCGTGACCATGTCTTGTGAGTTCTTTTTGGAAGGAGTTGTGGCGTCTTTCAGGAACAAAGCTGCGTATGTCTTCAGCATACAACCCACAAACTGACGGCCAAACCGAGGTTGTGAATCGCTGCCTCGAGCAATACCTTCAGTGCTTTGTTCATCAACTCCCTAAACAATGGAGCTCTCTACTGTCATGGGCAGAATACTGGTATAACACCACATACCACACATCAACTGACCCACCACCTTTACCAGGCTATGATCGAGGTACAACATCTATTCAAGAACTTGATGAACAGTTGGAAGAAAGAGATGAGGTGCTTGGGGATCTGAAGAAGCATCTGGAACGTGCCAACAGCCGTATGAAACAAGCTGCAGATTCAAAACGGAGAGATATCTCTTTCACAGTTGGTGACTGGGTGTATCTCCAACTCCAACCGTACCGAAAACAAAACATCTTCCGCCGAACCTCTCAAAATTTATCAACACGCTACTATGGACCATTCCGGATTGAAGCTCGTATAGGACCAGTGCCGTACCGTCTTAAGTTACCTGAAGGCTCACGGGTACACTCGGTCTTCCATGTTTCATTGCTCAAAAAACGGGTAGGAGCAGATACACCAACATCAGGTACGATTCTCCCTCTTCGAGCTAATGGATTGCTGCGCCTCACTCCTGAGAACATATTAGAGTTTCGAAAATCAAACATTGATGGTACTAAAGAAGCGTTGGTTCAATGGCATAACTTGCCGCTTGAGGATGCTACTTGGGAGGATGTTCAACAGCTGCAATATAGTTTTCCTTCTCTGAATCTTGGGACAAGTTTCATTTTGGGGAACCAGAGGAGATCAAACCGCGGAAGAATACTGAACCGGAGATACTTGAGCCACACGTGATCATGGTTTACTATTTCTCAAGTTATTTATTTTGATGTTTAAAGCATAATAAGAAGAGACCTGGTCCTCCTTGTGTTAAAGAAACCACCTCTTCCACTTTTCCCGATTCCCTATCGTGTAGGAGTGGAGACTCCAAAACTGTTTCAGTTCTTCTATTTATATTAATGAAAAACCAAAACGAGGTAGACTATTCTACCCGAAAATTACGATTGTTTACGTTTTTTATTTTATGTTTTGATTGGGACCAACATATCATAAAATCAAAATCCAGAATAACAAAAAAAAACAAATAAGAGAAGCTGTAAGAAAATTTGAAGGAATCTAATGAAGAAACTAATAATCCTAACTGCTTGACATCGTATTCGACAACGATATTACACTGGTAAAAAGAAACGCGAACCTTTCTGATGGTCAGAAGACAAATCTAATGGTTTTTACGAACATCTCTGCAACTTCCAGCGAGTATTACCAACCAGAGACTCCTATTCCTACGTTGGCTCAATCCCCAGAAAAATTACAGCTTGTATAGAATGAAAAAAGAGAAGTTAAAGAGTGTTATGTGATCATTGCTACCGATGAAGACAAAACGCATAATTTTATTGTAGGAGGACACATGCCAATACCATAGGACCTGGTTTTTCTAGGTGGAATCTGACGTGGAGGCTTTAGGAGTGATTAAACAAAACTTTTTATATATAGATAATAGATAATAATATCGGAATAAAAATTGATTTACATGCATTTTAAAAAAATTAAATTATCTTTGTAGAAAATAAATGTGATTTTCTTTCAAAAGATAGTTTTATTGTGTATTCAAATCTATTAGTAAATAATAATAGTAAACTATATAGAAAATTTTAAATAATGTTTACTTTTAAATACTACTGAATAAAAATTATAGAAAATAGTTAATTGAAAAAACAATACCTTTGTAGTCAAATTTAATATGCTTTATGAAATATAAAATATACATTTTTTGGAAACCGAGGAAATGGTAAATTCACAAATAAGTCGGTAAAATTAAAAATAAATATATATCGATGAACTACTACTACTACTTCCTCTTGTGTTGAGCTCTCTCTCGCTCTCGCTCCATATTCGTGTGTGTCCACTTCGGCGTTAGGTTTCTGGTAAGTCCTTTTCATTTATTCTCTTCGCGGCGAATCTGGGATGGTTTATTGGAAATGATATTTTTTAGCTTCTTAGATTCTAGGGTTTTGATTCGATTGTTTCTGAATCGGAACTTTGGTTTGGGTTTTGATTCTAGGCTATCTGAATCGAAACTTTGGTTTAGTTTCGAAATTTCATCATCTAGGGTTTTGATTTCTCCGTCTTCTTTAGTTTTGTGTAACTCCGATCTCTGAAAGGACCAACCTTTTTCATAGATTGAGGTTAAAAATTCACCATCTTCTTAAAGTCTATTTAGCGCATTTTTCTCTGATTGATTACATCTCGTAGTTTGAGAGCTTTTGTGTTTGGCATTTCACATGCTCTGTTCCTGCTTAACTAAATGAGTGTGTCTTATGTGTGTGGTTTAGCTTCGGAACCATGGGTTTGGATTGCAATTATTGGCATGTGTATCCAAAGATTCAATTATTGGTTATCTCTCTTTTCATTATATTCTATTTCTTTGTAGGTATTTTACAAGTATCAGTTGACATTTCTCTCCATCGTTTTCAAATGGGGGACTCTGAAAACGCTAACCAGCCTTCCAAAAAGAGAGGTGCTTTGAAGCAGCTGTCTCGTGAGAATCCAGATGATGATGATAATGATTCAACTGAACTTCAGAGTGGAACTTTCAAGAAGGCCAGTGATGAGGTGTTGGCAACTAGAAGAATTGTCAAAATCAAGCGCAAAGAGCCATCATCAGCAGCTGCACCACCCGCAGCATCCAACCCATTCGCTGGAATTCAATTGCTCCCTACTACTACTGCCCCTGCTTCAACTGCTTTGGGAACAAATTCTCCTCTGGCTGAGTCTAAAGTGGCTCCAGCTGAAGCTGTAGTTGAGGACAATCAAAAGGCAACTGATCCTGAAGACGGTGATGAAGTTGACAGTAAGAAAGATTGTGCTGGAGAAGACTCTGAAAAGACTAAAGAAAAGGATGTTGATGATGATAATCAGTGTGGAAAGACATGTGATGCTGCTGTAGACCAGACAGTCTCGGGTGTTACTAACATTAGCAACGCTGTGGAAGAAGCAGATCAAACTGAGGATCCTCTTGAGAAGGAATCAGGAGGTGAAATAAAAGAAAAAGGAGGCGAAGGAAGCGTTGAAGCAGATAAGAACGGTGACAGTAATAACAATGGCTCTTTGAGTTCGTTCCAGCAGCATTCAAGTAGCAAAAACGCATTCACCGGACTTGCCAGTACACAGTCTTCTGCTTCTTCCTTCTCATTTGGTGTTGTTTCTCAGGATAGTTCAACTGGTGGTTCTGGATCTCTCTTCGGCTTTGGCCTCTCAAACAGCAGCAACCCTTCTCTTTTCGGTGCATCTGGATCTTCCATTATCAAGAAGAGTGAAGGTAGTGGGTTTCCTCCAAAGCAAGAGGTTTCCACAGAAACAGGAGAAGAGAACGAGAAAGTTGCCTTCTCAGCTGACTCGATTATGTTTGAATATCTTGATGGAGGGTGGAGAGAGCGTGGCAAAGGAGAAGTCAAGGTAAACGTTTCCAGCAATGGCGGTAAAGCAAGGTTGGTTATGAGAGCTAAAGGAAACTACAGACTCATCTTAAACGCGAGTCTCTACCCGGAGATGAAACTTGCAAGCATGGACAAGAAAGGAATCACATTCGCTTGTGTGAATAGTGAAGGCAAAGAAGGTCTCTCTACGTTTGCGCTTAAGTTCAAAGATCCAACAATCGTGGAAGAGTTTCGTGTAGCTGTTGACAAACATAAAGACAGTAAACCAGTAGAAACAGCTCCTCCGTTGAAGTCTGAGAACTCTCCAACAGCTACAGATGCTTGAAGAGAAAGGTAAAAGAAACTCAGCTCTTGCCTATGTGTCTAACTTTCAAGTGGTTGAATTTTGAGGCAGAGAAAACCATAGGTTTGAGGAAGTTTGTTGTTGTTGTTTTCATTTTCCACACTTGTTTAGACTTTCTGGTTTGCCATAAGACTTATAAATTTGCTTCAAAACCTCGTTATATGAACCTTTTGAATGCTTTATATATCTGCCTCCGGTTTCATAGTTTGATCTGGTTTACAGTGAGATCGGACCAGTCAACGAACTTTTAGTTTAGTCCACTGCTATTTAGTCCCTAGAGCTTATATGAGAAACACAAAGTTGTTTCGTTTGATCTTGTTCGCAAGATGCTTCATAGACGACTAAGCAATGTTATTGTTAATGTGTCTGATGAAAACAATAGCATGTTTCAAAATTTGTAGTTTTATACAAGGTTTTAGTTATAGTTGTTCCACAAACGCATCAATTAGACTGTTTCATAACTTTAATTAACCTTTGATAATGTTGTCGCTCGTTTTTTTTACGTCTAACATTTATATTTTGGTTTGGTTACAAAAATCTCAGCGAAGTTATGGGTCTTTTTTTTTATATATCAACCATTTTATTTATATAAATTTGATATTACACATAAATAATAAACCGTTTTTTACAATTATAGTAGTTTTCATGGTAATTGTTTCCAACGTAAAGCAAAGCGGGAAGGATAAATTCTTTACCACTTAAATATAAATTCAAATTGTCATCGATCGTGATCACGAAATCCACGCCCAAGATGAGAACAACGATAAAATAATTAACAACCAAATCGATGTGAATAGATTTGAATCTTTTCTCTATAGAAAAGAAGAACAAAACAGAAATGGATCACCGTAATTACACTCTAGTGCAAAGAGAGTAATAGGAAACGTACTTATCTATACATCTTTATGGATCAACATCTGGCATTGAAAGTGTAAAAAAAAATGAAGTGACAGCAATCGTGCCTTGTCACCGTCCGTTTTTGTCTCCACTTTATCTTTTATTCCTAAATTATGGGTTCTATGACCGTGATTAATACTAAGGTTCTGAATGCAGAGATTCTTAGCGCAAGTTAAGAAACTGTTTCTTAACTTTTAACTAAAAACGCTAAGAATCGGTTCTTAAAATCTTTAATTAATGACCGGTTCTTATAGGTTTTAGTTTTAAGAAACAGTTTCTTAGTTTCCGATAAAATCCCCGTCTTAAAAACCCTAGGGTTAATCATGCTCTAATTCTCTATTGATACAGTGGAGCTACAGAATTTTTGGGATTTATTAAAAAGGTGAAACCCAACAAAGGATGAAACTCAAACATGAAAATAAAGACAAATGACCTAAATAAGGGGTCTAATTGACAAAATTTCAATGACTGTAAACCCAACAGAAAAAAAAAATCGTCGAGGAAGTAAACGTGAACAACACAAATCGAGGAGAAGAATCGCGGAGAGCTTAACTATAAGCGGAAACAGATCATTCAACGGAGCAGTATTTACGGTGGGGCTAGTGATTCTCAGAAACCACAATATTTTCCAGCTTTATATCCTTCAAAAAGTCAAAAGCATTAATGATTTTTGTTGATCTTTTTCAAGTCCAATTACAACATGGCAAGTGAATTGTTTTTTTTTTCTTGGTCTAAAACAAGTGAATTGTTTTCTTTTCATTTTCTACAATAATGCAAAATTCCATTTTGTGGGTTTAGTCTAAAATGAACCAACTCCAAAATAAAATTGTGTGCATCTTTACACCGATTCTGTCTTTCTCGGAATAAAAACATAATAGTGAACACACAAAATGAGTAATAAAATATGTTTAGAGTAAATAAACTTTGTATATTAATTGAAAATAGAACATGTTGGAAAATAATTACTCAAAAAAAGTTGGTATGGAAAATAGAATAGTTAAAATATGTTAATGGTGTTTGTTAAAATGTTCATATTGAAGTCTACGACTAAAACATATGCAATACACTGCAAAATATTTCGTTAGAACATTTCTATTTTCTACGACACCATTTTTATTTTATTTTATATGCAATTAGGGCTGGATCCACCGTATGGGTAAACAAATAAACGAGATAATAAAATTATATTTCAAATATTTATTTTCCATTAATAATAGTATTAATTTATACACTATTAACTTTTTACTATTTATTTATCATTATAAGAAAATTAATAATAAATGAGAGTCATTTTCGTAATTGTTTCCTCGCAGATGAGGCTTTACGAGGAAATAACTAAGAAACCGAAAATGTCGTGACAAATTTCTCGTAATGCATATTTTCTCGCTAAAAATTCGCTATGTTACAAGGAAATTTTTCCTCGTAAAGCCGAACCTATTTTTCCTCGTAAAAGACATGCAATGTATTCCACGTAATATACACGCTAAATGTTTCCTCGTTAATAACACATAAATTTACTCGTAAATACCTAGTTAAGTTTCGTCGTTAGTCACACGTAAACGTATCCTCGCAATGTCCGCGCTAAGTCTTGTAGTTAATTCCACGAAAACCTAACGACGAATTTACTTGAGAACTTATTTTTTCTGATTTGATAATTAATTATAATAAAATATAAAAATAATTATTAAAAAAATAAAATTAAAATAATAGAAGAAAACGAAAATATTTTATAAATTTTAAGTTTTAAATTTATATAACAACAAAAATCAATAAAAAGAACTAGGAGTGGCGGTTCTCGGAGTCGTCATCGTTTCTTCTGCCCGTCTCGCCCTGGCAGCCGGGGACAGGAATGCCCAATTGTCTCCGTCTCGCTGCTAACATCATCTCCAATTACGGATTTCCAGCTGATAGAACGTCCAGGAAATCCACGAATGATCTCATTTGAACTTGTGTCGTGCTCAAATTAGAACGCGTCACATTCAACTCCGAACGCAGCTGAGCCGTCTTATCTTCATCTCGCTGAACATAAGCTGATGTCGCTTTTGGGGTATCGTTAACGCAACCGATCCCCAATCTATGTCCCTTCTTCTTAAGGACGACCTTTAAAAAAAATTAATGTTAGCTAACAATAAAAACTTAGATATGACGAAATGAATAATAATTAAAAAAAAAATACCTCCTCGTAAATCTCATCCACTTCAGCTGTGGATAATGTGACGGGTATCCCATCAGGTGAATGCTGGGTCAGCTGGGTTTGGCGTTCTTCAACCTGAGCAACAACGTCGTTGTAAATTTGCTCGGATCTAGGATTTACAAAATTTTCAGCTTTGTTCTTGTGGATCCTCTCGTAAAGGTCCTTAAGAGATCGTAGATGTCTCGTCTCTTTGGCCTAAAAATATTTTTTTAAACAATTAATAAATTAAAACATATTAATCAATAAAAATTATATATAATTAAAAAGTAATTAAATTAGTTTAAATATATATTTACTATCCCAAGATGGATACCGGCGTGCGGTCTTTGACCCGAAGAGTGAAGCATCAGAGTGTTTCCATGCTCATATTTTGTCAGACGGGAAGATGAGCAGTTGGTTGAGACTCTGATCGACGATGACAAGCTCCAATAACGAATGAGGCCATACCACACATAAGTTATGAGCTTAGCGGGTTTCTCGTGCTCAAAACCGTCGACAAGATAATCATCCTTCCATTTGGACACCGTGTCCAACAATCACGCTTTTGCCTTCTGGGCAAAGCTTTCTTCACCTTCTCGTTCACTCCCATGGACCAACGCCATTTTTGATGTAAACAAAAAAAAATTATATTAATTAACAATTAATCCAAAATATCTTAAAAATTTAATTAATAATTAAAATTAATAATCACTTACAGAGTAATAGGAAACGTACTTATCTATACATCTTTATGGATCAACATCTGGCGTTGAAAGTGTAAAAAAAAATGGAAGTGACAGCAATCATTTTTGATCACCTTGTAACCGTCCGTTTTTGTCTCCACTTAATCTTTTATTCCTAAATTATGGGTTTTAGGATCGTGATTAATCTGGGGTTCTTAAGGCAGGGGTTCTTAGTGAAAGTTAAGAAACTGTTTCTTAATTTTTAACTAAAAACGCTAAGCACCGGTTCTTAAAGTTCTTATTAAGAACCGGTTCTTAGCGTTTTTAGTTTTAAGAAACAGCTTCTTAGCTTCCGCTAAAAACCCAACCTTAAAAACCCTGGGTTAATCATGCTCTAACTCTCTATTGGTACACTGGAGCTACTGAATTTTTGGGATTTATTAAAAAGGTGAAGCCCAACAAGGGATGAAACCCAAAACATGAAAATAAAGACAAATGACCTAAATAAGGGGTCTAATTGACAAAATTTCAAGGACTGTAAGCCCAACAGAAAAAAAATCATCGAGGAAGTAAACGTGAACAACACAAATCAAGGAGAAGAAACAGGAGAGCTTAACTATAAGCGGAAACATATCATTCAACGGAGCAGTCTTTACGGTGGGGCTAGTGATTCTCAGAAACCACAATATTTTCCAGCTTTATATCCTCAAAAAGTCAAAAGCATTAATGATTTTTGTTGATCTTTTTTAAGTCCAATTACAACATGGCAAGTGAATTGTTTTTTTCTTGGTCTAAAACAAGTGAATTGTTTTCTTTTCATTTTCTACAATAATGCAAAATTCCATTTGGTGGGTTTGGTCTAAAATGAACCAACTCCAAAATAAAATTGTGTGCATCTTTACACCGATTCTGTCTTTTTCGGAATAAAAACATAATAGTGAACACACAAAATGAGTAATTAAAATATGTTTAGAGTAAATAAACTTTGTATATTAATTGAAAATAGAACATGTTGGAAAATAATTACTCAAAAAAAGTTGGTATGGAAAATAGAATGGTTAAAATATGTTAATGGTGTTTGTTAAAATGTTCATATTGAAGTCTACGACTAAAACATATGCAACACACTGCAAAATATTTTGTTAGAACATTTCTATTTTCTACGACACCATTTTTATTTTATTTTATTTGCAATTAGGGCCGGATCCACCCTATGGGGAAGCAAATAA